TTTATCAGTAAGTTGGCACTTAACATACTTGGTTGTAAACAACTGGCGAGCAAGGTGGTGCTGGTGGGGGGGTGGTGGGTGGATGAAATAAGGATTGCTTTCATAGCGAGTACATCCGAAACAATAAAAACACAAATGCAAATAAGCCAACATACCGTCATCGATGTGACCTCTGGATTTGTCTTGGTAAATTCTTTGATTGTCCTGTGAACGTCTAATCGCCTGTTTGGGATCATGTGAAAGAAGGATTTGCATGAGATGGGGTGGTCGGTGTTATACACACTGGTGTGTGTGTGTGTGTCTGTGTGAATAGACTGGAAATCCATTAACATGAGCAAAGATCAAACTCTTTCACTCACCCCTGGATCGGATGCAGGATTCACGTTCTGGTTAGTCTCCGACTCGCTGACTAACGATGACTTCACGTCTGCTAAGTCCCTCTCTGTGAGAGCGTTCTCGGAGGCTTTCTCCTCCTGCTCTCCTTCGTCCTTAAAGGAGATCATTTCATCGTTCGCCCCCAGATCATCCCCTCCACCGCTGTTCAGCTGCGGCATTTTCCTCAGGTTTGTTCCCCTGTCTGTATTATCCCCCCCCCCCAAACCCCCCCCCCCCCCCCCCAACCACCCGACCTCTCCACTCCTTCACTCTGCAAAGTTCCTTTACCCGGGACTTGTGCTGCTTCTTGTGATACAGGACACCCCCCCCTCCCCACCCGCCCCGAATCAATACAATGTGAAGTTGCAGTCAGTTGGAGCAGGAGAAAGAGAGAGACACAGAGAAAAAAAGACCTCAGTGAAAGTACGGCAGCAGGGAGAGAAAAAAAGATCTGAAGCAGTTTGTGTTTAGGACCAAGGCGACGGCTCCTCAACATCAAAGAGTACCGCCTTTTGATTGACAGCTTCATTGACGGGAGGGGGATTCAATTGTTTTATCAACGAAACACTTTAAAATCATTACTATTTCTCCCCACTAAGCCCCTGCCCTTGCAATCTGTACCCAACTCACTCCACTCCCCCCGAAGACATACACACTTTTAAAAAAATCTTTGTAAAATCACATATTCATTTGCGTCGAGAAGCAACGTGCCCGCGTTTCCCCCTGACAAATAACTATTTACTATACATTTCCTCAATACTCGGGTCTGTGAAAGAAAAAGTGCTCCTTTTTGTTGCTTCTTAAACCGCAATTCAGTTTGGTCAAATCATGTAACTTTTTTTTACTAAATTATGTTAATTCTTTAACGTGTCAGTTTTGAATGATAACGTTAAAAGTCTGGTAGTATTTTTCTTTGCTTTAGCTGATCGCGGTAAGGGTTCAACTAGAATAATATAGATTTAAGTATGAGAGGGCCTCTCACGCAGAGAATACAGGTATAAACACAGATTTACTGTCACACATTCACAAATGGAAACACAAAGAGCCACACATTTTTCTCCCATTTATGTGTGATGCATTTTAACAGTTAAATACGGACATGCACAGGCACGGATATAGATACACACAGAGACACAGTTAAATATTGCATAAATAGGGACAAATATAGCCTTAAATACACACATGCACAATGCAAACACACAGATTCACACAGGCACAAGTACAGACACAAGCTTAAACATAGACATACAAGACACAAATGCAGACACACTTAGACATACATAGGCATAAACACAGGCATATTAAATACAGATATACACAAAAAATCAAACATTCAAAAACACATTAACACAGACGTTCACAGCACTACACATGAACTTAGAAAACATCTTGCACATTGTGAAATTTCCAAGACAGTTAAAGTCAGTGTATTAAAAATTGAGCAGCAGGTATAAGAAGAATTAATTAGAATTAATTCAACTAATTAGATTTTAAATATGTGTTTGAATATAGGAAGAGATGGGCACAGAAGGGCTTATCTGAAAATTACTGAGTGCAGGCCCATGTTCACGGATTTAAAACTGATGGCAGAGAAGAGAAACAGGGAAGCTCAAGAGACCAACTCTATAAGAGCAGAGTATGTAAGCTGAGATGAAGGGCTGCAGGAACTTGCCAATATAGAATCAGGTCAGACTGTGAAAGGATATGTAATTTCAGGTGAAGATTTTGAAATCAATATCCATGGTGCTGTGAGCTAATGTAATTCTCAGTGAAGACTCAGTGAAGGCCTGCAGTCAATATAAGATACAACGCAAGTGGAAATTTGGATGAGTTTGAGTTCGTGTAGATCAGAGTTTGAAAGAATAGGGGAGAGCAGTTAAGAGTCTTACAGGATGCTGAAGGCATGATTCACGTAAGAGCATAATTTTGCAGTTGCTAGAGATCTGGAATAAAAAAAGTGCTGGAGAAACTCAGTAAGTCACATGTCTCTGTGAAATAGGGACAAGAATAAATGATGTTACTTTCGTAGCACTAGTAATCTTGGTGATTAGTTGAATATGGAAATCAACCCCAGGTCAAATTAAAAGAAGACACTAAGATTGTATACTGGCTCAAAAACCTATGGGCCTATTGCTGGAAAGTGAGATTAGAATAGCGAGGTGGTTCTTTTTTTCTATGCCTTTTTCTATGCTGTAGACCTCTATGACTTTATGACAATCTAAGAGAACAATTAAAAAGGGGTTTTAAGTGAAAACCAAACATAAGCCAATGGTCTTCCCAGTATTAATTCTTTATCTCCCGAATAACTTGATGTTGCACTGTGTGTCATGAAAATGCAAATCAGGAGCAGGATTAGGTTATCCAGGCCCTCGAGTCTACTCTGCCATTCAATAGGAATATGGCCATACTGATTGTAACCTCAAATCCACATTCCTGCCCACTCCGATAACTTTTAAACTCTTTGAAAAACAAGAATCTATCTAGATCTGCCTTAAAAATTTACAAGGACTCTATCACCACTGCCTTTTTGGGAAGAGATTTCCAAAGATTCACAACCTCTGAGAGAAATAATTTTACCTAATCTCTATTTTAAATGGGTGATCCTGAATATTTAAACAGTGATCTCCAGTTCTAAATTCTTCCATAAGTGGAAATATCCTCACCAAAGCTACCTTGTCAAGACTCCTCAGGATTTTACAGGTTTCAACCAAGTCACCTCTTACTCTTCTGAATGCCTTTGGATATAAATTGAGGCTGACTGCCTTTCCTAATAAGACAACCAAACAATTCCGGCTATTAGTCTAGTAAACATTCTGTAAACTGCGTGCAATGCATTTTTAAATACAAGAGTCCAATATTGTGCACCATACTCCAGATATAGGCTCACCAGTACCCTGTATAATCGAAGCATAATCTCCCTACTTTTATATTTAATTCCCCTCACGATAAACGATAACATTCCCAAATACTTGCTGCTACCTACATACTAACCTTTCATGATTCATGTGCAAGGACACTCAATTCCCTCTGCATTTAAGAACTCTGTGACCTTTCATCATTTTGATATCATGCTTATTTTTATTCTTCCTGCCAAATGAACAATTACACATTATAATACAACAAAGAACTGTAGATGCTGGCAATCTGAAACGAACGAAGAAATTGCTGGCAAAAGCCAGCTGGCTGACAGCATCTGTGGGAAGAAAGCAGAGTTAACGTTTTGAGTTTGGTGACTTCATCAGAACTGTTAATAGCTAAGAAAATGTAGTGTTTATGCTGCAGCCACAGTTGGAGAGGGGCGGGGGATGAAGGGGAGCAATGAGCCCTTCCTCACCAGACCCAAAATGTTAACTCTGATTTCTCTTCACAGATGCTGCCAGACCTGCTGAGGTTTTCCAGCAACTTCTGTTTTTGTTTCTGATTTACAGAATCTGCAGGTTTTCCAAAGTTATTGACTTTGATGTTGAGTCTTAGAGGCTGCAGGGTCCCCAAGCGGAAAATGAGATGTTGTTCTTCAAGCTGGTGCTGAGGCTCACTGGAACACTGTAGCAGATCATTCAGGGTTGCTTTCAGCACAGCCCAGCCATTTTCTCCTCCTGTTAGTTCTTATTATCGCTTATTCAGCTTTTCTTTTGTCCTGGTCTGCTGCCCATGATCTCCTTGTTTACTAACATCTTTCACATCTCGCTCTCACTCTGTCTGGGTCTGTCTCCACCTATTTGCTCATCTCTCCACTTCTTCCACATTCCACCAAACCCCCAAACCAACTTTGGCTTCAGCATAAATACCACTTTTTCCCAGCTATTTCTGTTCCTTTCTGTTTCAGATCTCTAGCATCCACAATTCTTTGTTTTACTAGGTAGCACTTTCAATGCAGAAAAGCATTTCAAAGTACTTCACAGCTGTATAATAAAACAATAAAAGTATGTTACAGCTGATATTGACTGAGGCCACACTCATATTCAGCAACAAATACTCATACAGTATCACACATAGCACACACTGGTTCCAGGGCTATAGGCAGAAAATGTATCTATCTCCAAACGTTACTTCTACCCCATCTGAACATGCACATGCACATTACAGGAGCACCTGTTGGAAAATTTGGAACTTTTACATTATTTATGACTTATTCTGGTCAACTTCAAACATTTTTAGAACATTACTAATAGATGTCTAACCTTAAAAAGGGGGAAATTACAATTGTATCCATCCATTTTCAGAGATGTCCAGCCCTAAACAATTTTCACAAAACTGTGCTGAGCAATCACTTCCCTTTCCACTTCAAAGAGGCACTTTTTCTCCTCCAACTCCATCCAATTCACAGATATTGTGCCCTCCAAGTGCTCCCAGTTTCCCTCCTTTCCATCTCGTTGCTGCCCCCAGCTGCAGTTTCCACTCAACCAACAAACTTTCTGCTGTTAACAAGATTTTTGTTAAAGAAGCACCAGTAATTCTTTGTTAACATTTTTGGAGCAGCTAATTGGCAGTTTAACCTTGAATTTGTTGAATCCTTGTTCCTTTAGACATGCATGCAATGTGAAATTTTGCAGTGAATTTCACAAAACAAAATGTCAGAAGACATGTATACAAATAGATCAATGGCCTGGACACACCAAAATAGAGCACACCAAATAGAGATTTATTCATGTCATCACACACCTCCACTTTCATGCACATGCTTTTATGCACAATGATAAAGACACATTCATGACTGCATACACACACATTTGTTTTCACATTTGTACTGGATATGCTTAATTTGCAATTATGGGGTGACTTTTGTAACAAAAGGACCTATGGTGCCGTCACAGACCAGCATATCAACACTTGCACATATTCACAATCACTGGCACAAACACAGATATATTCACACACACTCGTCCATATTTGTGTACAAATACATTCTTGCACAAACACACTCTGATGAATTCACATGGAAACAAATAGAAATTTAAATATTGATATGAAGTGAACAAACAAACTTGCACACAGATGTACTTGATATAACAAAATAAGGGCAGGAGTAGACCATACAGTCACCCAAACCTGCTCCACCATTCATTATACTTGTAACGGATTCTCTGCCTCTACACAGCTCTCCCTCCCACTTTCCCTTGATTCCCTGCGAAAGCAAAAATCAGCCTTAAAAACATTCAATAGTAGAGCTCCCACCACCCTTTGGAAGAGGAA